TGGAACTATGCTGTACTTAAACAAGATGTTTTATTTGTTTTGTTAAAACTTAATAAGCAGTTTTTAGAAAAGATGTTTTATGTTCTTATGTTTTATGTTTTGTTTGTTTGTGTATTGTCTTTGAAAATTAATAAAATTTGTTTAAAAAAAAGGAACAATGAAAAAAGGGAGGCTTGTTAAAATGGATAAGCAAATATCTGTATTATTATTATGATCATTATGATAGAATGAAGATCAATGTAATGAATATTGTTGTAAACACTTTGATGATTATTTCCTAAAACTATTTGTATCCAGACAACTCACTGTTTAACCAATAATGGAAGTTTTATGTTATAAAATAAAAAAACTTTATGCAAAAAAATGAAGAAGTTACAATGGCACTGAAAAAAATGACTGATTACTATTTTTCACACTTGTGGCTCTTGCAGCACAGTCACATGAACAAAATACAGATGCTTGGCAACTGTCTCATATTTGTGATGGTTGCAGTGTCCCGGGGTCATGTGATCACTTTTTGTGACCTTCTGACAAGCAAAGTCCATGGGGAAGCCAGATTCACTGAACGTGTTCCTAACTTAACAACTGCAGTGATTCACTTAACAACTGTGGCAAGAAAGGTCATCAAATGGGGCAAAACTAATTTAACAGTTGTCTCATTTAGCAACAGAAATTTTGGGCTCAATTGTGGTCATAACTTGAGGACTACCTATATTGTCTATTAGTGTTCTGTGGGGCTTGACTCACTGACACTATGCTCTGATTTCAAGCACTTATAGTATTGTTGTGCAAGGGATATGGCTTAAACAGAGTTTAGTTTTCATGCTTGAGGCTCTATTCAGACTTGACAAAACTAGCATATTCAAACGGATAATATGGATTTTCCAGTTTTGAGCAAGCTCTCATAGTAAGAGCCAGATAAGACAAACTTCTACGCTAAATTTTCTCTTTATGATTCCACAATCAAAACAATTCTGGGGTGTAGCTTAGCAGAATGAAAACAAGATTACAGCACTACAGTTGAAATTCCCAATAAATAACTGAAACATGCCTCTGTAAATTTCAGGTGCAGGAGTACAAACATGGATAGGAAGCCAACAGAGATCCTATTCCCTTAAAACTTTATGAAGATCTGCAAATGATAATGCCAGACTTTCCAAATTTGTGACCAACAAATTCAAACAGAACTGTAACTACCAGCTGGCTATGGTATTCTGAGGGGCACCAAACTATATGATTCTACTGCCTGCTTAGGACAGTGGAAAAACAAAACATCCATACCCTGCTGAAGTTACCACAAAGTGCAATCAGCCAAGGTGCTATTATCTTTGGACATGATCATTTTCTACTAAGTAAGAGGCACATTCTTACAGAAGAGGAAAGACTCCTAAAATGTGAATCACTTCTTCAATATGCTGCTGGAAGGACTACAATGAAATGTACTGTCTTCTAGTATTACAGAAGAGATAAGCACATTGATCTGAAAATTTTGAGCATTTGTTAAGCACATTGATCTGAAAATTTTGAGCATTTGTGTGCTGGGAAGAGATGCTTACCTGACATGCTGCTTTTCACTGAACATCGGCTGCTTTTTCTTTTACGTTTCCCATTGGGCCACCTTCAGAGAAGAGAGGTAGAATATGTCATTAATTTGGAGGTTTACACATTCAATTAATCTTTCTTGATCTACTGCTCAAGTCTTATCCTATGCAATCCCCTGCCTCAAAACTTTTCCAAATTACCAGGACTCAGTTCACCATCTTTATGTTGCAGCATTTCCATTATCCTACACCTTTTAAGAAATCAGGATGTGTGAGCAGTACAAGGGTATTTATCTCAGAACAGCAGCAGAGATAAAGAGGTTAGGAAGATGTTTTAATGCACATATGCACGAGTAACCCCCTCTAGATCCAAGATTCCCATGCTATCCTTTTTACAAGTAATACACTACTGCTACATTGTTCTCACCTCAGGCCAGTATGGACTGTGTCCAGGTGATCAAAAAGGGAAATTAAATTACCAGCAATCACTCAAAGCAGCAGTCCCCAAACTTTCTGGCTCTGTGGACTAGCAGTGGCGATTGGGTGAGAGGGGATGGTTTTGCACGTGCACCTGCCACTTGCACAAATGGAGCTTTTGCGCTCACCCACCACTTGCACAACCTGGTTCCCAATGGGTCATGGACCAGTACAAGTTCGCGGACTGGGGGTTGGGGACCCCTGACTTAAAGGAACCTAACCCAATCCAATCCAGCTCATACTTCTTGCACTGAATCTATGGCTGCCCTAAAAAGAAATTGGAGGTTTTTGTGGTAGCATTTACACTTGCCCAAGAAGCTCTGCTTGATTATTCCATTTAACCTTGTCACAACTTTGTAGTGTAGGACTTAGGAAACTACCTATCCAATGTTAACTAGCCCAGCTGAATCCTCCAGCCTAAAAGTAATACCTTAAAGATGTAAAGTTATTTTAATGCTTTTGGCAGCTGAATTGTAGATGTTTATGAAAGGGAGGAGGAAAAATCCATGACACGCTGGAAATTTCTGCTTATAACAAACAATATGTCAGGTTTCCAGCGATCATCTTAATTAAATCATGAGCCTTGAGCTAAACTTCAAAAGAACTCATTAGGAGCGACATACTGGCATGACCTGTATGAAGCCAATTCTGGCAGTCTTCCGCCCCCACCTTTCTTATGGCAACTTGGAAACAAGTGTAGGAATGTTTTACAAGTTGACACAATAGAGTTCCAATTCAGTGATCATTTGGAACTATTCTCAATAATCTGTGCATTTGTGTTTAATTTGCTTTGTTGAAGAATGTGTAAATTAGAACCTGGATGGTATACTTTATTATTCTGCCAAGAAAGTTAGCATTCCCCCCCCCCCAATAATTTAACTTTAAAGATTGTTATAGATTTGCTAGGGATACATAATGGAAACAGCTGAGGGTTTTTCTATTTAACCTTCATTTGTGGAAGGGGTGCCTGCAGGGGTGGGATCCGAAAGGGTTACCTACTAGTTCGGTGATTTACAAGGTTCAATGATTTACGATGTGCTTCCCTACACGCTGCGCATGTGCGCCTGTAAATCGTCATCAGCACGCTGCATGCAGAGAAGCAGCCTTTCAAAAAGCACTTTTTTCCTGCTTTTTAAACTGCAGCTGTGCCTCGCTCAGCAGCTGAAGTTGAAAAAGCAGGAAATAAAGGTCAGGTAAGAGCCCGGGCGGGCAGGTGGGCAAAAACATCAGCAGACGTAGAACCGGTTCTATGTCTGCTGCTCTTCAGAGCTACCGGTTCTACAGAGGTGGACAGAACTGGTAGAAACCCACCCCTGGGTGCCTGGTGTACCCTAATTTCCCTATTATCTTCTTTTTGGGTAAAGATGGTAACTGAATGCTTACTTTTTTAAAAAGATGATTTACTGATTAGAAATGCTGACCCAAACTAATGAATAATCACAGAAAACCTATCAAAATGGTCTCTTACCCAATAGTATGAAATTAAGTACTAGAAACACTGTGAATCTTTGAATGTTTCAGTAATTGGAGTGCAGCATGTCAAACTCAAGGCCTGTGGGCCAGATGCAGCCTGCGGGGTGCTTAGATCTGGCCAATGGGGCCAGCCTGGAAATAGCAAAGGACCGGCCCGCAGTGCCTCTGTCAGCAAAAACGGAGCTGGGGGGGGGCTGTTTCAGCTGCAACGGCCTCCTGCAACCCTCTGCCAGCGAAAACTTAGTGCGGGGAGCCATTCATGCCCCCCATGCTCCATTTTTGCTGGCAGAGGGCTGCAGGAGGCTGTCGTGGCCGAAAATGAGGCTCTGTTTTCACTGGCAGAGGGCTACAAACTAAAAACAAAACAAAAGAAGAAATGTTCACCTGTTTTCTGTGACTGTGCTTGTTTTGTATCCCACCCTGGGTCATCACAGTCTGCCGGAGTGGAAGAAGTCACTAGAGACTAAAACTTGAGCTTGGAATTACCTTAAAACTACCTAAGACAGACAATTTGACTATCTGATTGTGTCAGGGGTCCAACAAATCCAGCCCAAAGATGGAACTATAACTTTTTGTCATCACAGCTAATTAAAAACAGAATAATGTTGGACTTCCAGTTTGAGTTCCTTCGCCAACAGACCGAAACCACGATCATGCGTTGTTTCGATCTGTGCTTGCCGCCGGAGCGCCCTGAGCCGGCTGGTTTCGGGGCTAAGCCACCCCGTAGAGGTGGTGAAGAGGGGGAAGACTGCCAGTAGGGTTGAGGAGAGCCGCATCTCTCCTCCTCAACTGGCCATTACTCTCTTTCCTGAAGGCGGATGCAGCGGTGGTCAGAAATGGCCACCTCAAAGAACTCGACTGGAAAAGAATGTGCAGGAGGAAGATAAGAAGAGAAAGTTTTGGTTGACCGGGTTAAACTGCAAAAGCAACAATGTAAGGTACCCTGGAATTTAAACTATAAAAAAAAATAACATTGTTCCCAAAGAAGATTTTTTTTTTTATATATAAAAGTTTTTATTGTTTTTTAACATACAAACAAACAGACAAAACATAAAAACATCAGCTCCCCCATATTTATATACAAACAGTGAGTCGGTTGGTTCATCAGTTTTGTGCGTTCACTTCATAGTCACAATTACAATTACCTTATATAATAACTCTTATTGTCAATACAAACTTATAAATCATCATATCATTATTAAAAAAAAAGAAGTTTGACTATACTTTTATTCGATCATGCCTTTATGAGATAACTATCTTTTAAGTAATTTATTCTAAAACAAATCATATAATCGTGCCAGTTCTATCCTAAATAAGAGAAAAAAAAAGAAGAAAACCATTATATAAATATAATATCCAATACCAAAAAAGAGAAAAGAAAAATAAATTCAGTATTATTCCTTATTATCTAACATTTCAAATATTCTATTTTTGTATTTCATCATTCAGCCATTGATAGAAAAGATCCCAAATTATATAAAATTGTTTATCTTCTTGCTCTCTGATTTCAAAAGTCAATCTACTCATCTCAGCACATTCCAATATTTTCTTTATAACTTCTTCCTGCAATGGAATTTTCTCATTTTTCCAATTCTTTGCAAATACAATCCTAGCCGCAGTCAATACATTTACAATCAAATATTTCAACTCTTTACTATAAACATCTGGTAAGATTCCCAATAAAAAAAACTCCGGTTTCAAGTCTATGTGCTTCTTTGTCATTTTTTCCAACCACATGTGGATTTTAGTCCAATATTTTCTAGCATCCTCACAAGTCCACCACATATGGTAGTATGAACCAGGTTTCTGATGACATTTCCAGCATTTTTCGGATTTGTTCTTAAACATTCTTGCTATCCTTGTCGGAGGAAAATGCCACCTGTAAAACATCTTATACAAATTTTCTTTATAGGCTGTAGACATTGTCATTTTATAATTTTGCAACCATAATTTCTGCCATTTCTCTAAATCAATCCCATATCCAAAATTCCTCCCCCAGGCAATCATAGTTTCTTTAACTTGTTCTTCCTCCAGCTTAATTTCCAATAAGTAACCATATAATTTTTTAATCACCTTTTCATCAGTACCCATCAAAATCTTATCTAAATCAGTTTGTTTATCATAAAATCCCTCTGTTTTGGAATCCTCATGATACTTTGCATGTATTTGCAAATATGAAAACCAATTCATCTGTATACCTTGTTCCTCTAACTTTTGTATCGATTTAAGTTCACCCTTTTCATCTAGTAATTCCCCATAGCTAACTGTTTGTTCCTTTTTATAAATTATAGGGTAAGAAAACGCTTCTATCGTCGATAACCAAACTGGAATTTTCAAATAACATTGTTTTTTTGTCTTCTCCCAATTTAACCACAGAGACTCCCGTATATAATATCTTCTAAAATACCCCTGTGTTTTGGTTCCCTTATACCATAAAAAAGCATGCCAACCCAGCAACAAATCATGACCTTCTAATGTCAACAATCTAGTTTTCCTTAATGTTATCCATTCTTTAACCCAGATCAAATTTGCAGCTTGGTAGTACAACTCCCAATTAGGCAGGCCAAACCCTCCTCTGATTCTGGCATCCTGTAGAAGCTTTAACTTTATCCTTGCTTTCTTGCCTTGCCATATATACTTCAAAACAATTTTGTTTAAATCCTCAAAATAGTCTTTTCCAAGCCTAATTGGTATTGTTTGGAACAAAAATAAAATTCTGGGTAGAATATTCATCTTAATTGTTGAAATCCTTCCTATTAATGCCAATTGTAGGTTTTCCCATTTCTTCAGATCTTGGGCTATCTGTTGTTTAAGTTTAATATAATTGTTCTCCTTTAATGTACTACATCTTGATGTCAAATATATCCCCAAATACTTAACCTTATTTGTAACTTGGATTTTTAACAATTCTGCTAGTTCTTCTCTTTGTCTTAGCAACATATTCTTTGACAAAATCTTTGTTTTATCTTTATTTATTTTCAGACCGGCCACCTCACCATATGCCTCTATCTTTTCCAACAGCTTCAAGGCTGTTTCTATAGGATCTTCCAAGATAAAGACTAGGTCATCTGCAAAAGCTTGTAGTTTAAATTCTTCCTTTTTAATTTTCATTCCTTTTATAGTTTTATATTCTCTAATATTTCTATTCAACACTTCCAAAGTCAATACAAATAGCAAGGGGGAAAGAGGACAACCTTGCCTTGTGCCTTTTCTTATACTAATAGGATCTGTGAATTCTCCCTCCATCATTACCATAGCTGTTTGCTCATTGTAAATTGCTTCTATTGCCTG